AATAATTTTAGTGATTTATCTGATAATTTATTATTATCTTTAAAATAAAAATTATAACCATAACTTAAATTTATTTTATATTTAAGTTAGTAATAGTAAAATATTATATATATGTTCATATGAATATTTCCAAGTTTATTTTCTGTAAAAAAAAAAGTTTCCTAAAATATTTTTTTATCATATATAAAAATTTAACATTTAAGTAATTATTAAAAATTTTAAAAACATGAAATAATTGATTTTAACATTTTTGAATTGATAATAAAACTATTTTAAAAAATTATTAAGCCTGCAAGTGCAGGTAAAACACCTAGTTATCTTTTAATAAGTTATTTAATTGTAACCGTCAAAACGAAAACAAAACTTCAAGAGAAGTTTGATTTCATTTATATTTTGTATTTACATGTTTACAGTTACAAATCAGAAAACACCTCAACTCTAATTCTTCTAGAACGTGTAATTATTACCTTTGGTTAGTAAAATTGGTAAACCACTCAATAACTTAGCTATGGATATTACTTCTACAACGTGTAAATATTTTAGGATGCAATATTCAAAGTTCTAGAAAAGGTCCAATGTCAGTCAAATCATTTGTTATGAATTAAAAGTGTTTTACTGTATTGAGAAAAGAGTAGATATCTATTTTGAACTTGGTCTCCAAGCATAATTGTGTATATCTAAACAGTTATAGTGTTATATATTTAAGTGAAAGAGTTTAAGTGAAAGGGTGCAATGAACCATTGCAATTGTTTATGTGAACAATCACAACTACATAAATAAAAGTTTGCAACTATTGATGATTACAACCTTTGGTAATAATCATATTAATATTTGCAACCTTTGGGATTAAACATATTAATGATTGCAACCCTTGATTATTAACCATTGTAACTGTTTACTAACCATTGCAATTGTTGATATTAACAATTGCAACTCTTCATTAACCATTGCAACCATTAGTATTAACTATTGCATCTCTTGGATTAACCATTGCAACCATTGGTTGCAACCTTTCATTCTCTATATAAAGGGATGTAGGCATTGGCAAATGATAATAGAGAAATAGAAAAATCAGAAACTAATAGTTAGTAAGAAAGTAAGAGAGAAATAGATTTATTGTTTAAAGATCATCAAAGATCTTTGAAGAAACACATATAAGCATTAAAACTCTATTTGTTATTCTTGTATCTTAGCCTAGAACAAGAATGTGACTTTGATTGTCTTATCCTACAAAGGGATTTCGTTTAACCCAAAGGCTTGGAATAGGGTCGAAATACTCTTTAAGGAAAGTGACCTCGTGCGGGATTCAATCATTATCCAAGTATATAATTCACAAATTTCTGGGTTATAACCCAAATAACCAACAATCTTAAAGAGTATTTTCTTGTGAACTATGACTAGTATATTTGTGCGAGAGATAGATCAAAGTCTGAAAAGTTGTAAATGTTTGAGTGAGTAAACTTTTGAAGATGGAGAAAGAAGATGAAACAATGGAGAATAATACATCATTGCTATATTCTCAAAGGTATGTTAGTTTCATTTTAAATANCAAAGTCTGAAAAGTTGTAAATGTTTGAGTGAGTAAACTTTTGAAGATGGAGAAAGAAGATGAAACAATGGAGAATAATACATCATTGCTATATTCTCAAAGGTATGTTAGTTTCATTTTAAATAGTATTGCTAATGATGATCGAACACGGTACCACCAAAGAGTGCCATCAAAGGATGCCACCAAAGGATGTCATCAAAGGATGCCACCAATGGGTGCCACCAAGGGATACCACCAAAAGATGTCATCAAGGGGTGTCATCCAAAGGGTGTGATCATATCGTTAACCAAGGGATACGAGTGCATCGTGATCCAAGAGGTACGAACGTATCATGACCCAAGAGGTATGAACGTGTCGTGACCCAAGTGGTACGAATGTGCCGTGACCCAAGAGGTACGAACGTGTCGTGACCCAAGAGGTGCGAACGTATCGTGACTGAAAGGGTGCGAACGGTTCGGGACCGAAAGGGTGCGAACGGTTCAGGACCGAAACGGTGCGAACGGTTCGGGACCGAAAGGGTGCGACAGGTTCGGGATCGAAAGGGTGTGAACGATTCGGGACCGAAAGGGTGCGAACGGTTCGGGACCGAAAGGGTGCGAACGGTTCGGGACCCAAAGGGTGCGAACGGTTCGGGACCCAAAGGGTGCGAACGGTTCAGGACCGAAAGGGTGCGAACGATTCGGGACCGAAAGGGTGCGAATGGTTCGTGACCGAAAGGGTGCGAATGGTTCGAGACCGAAAGGGTGTGAATGGTTCGGCACCGAAAGGGTGCGAATAATTCGGAACCGAAAGGGTGCGAATGTAACATCACCAAAAGGGTGAGAATGTATCGTCACCAAGAAGGTGTGAATATAACATCACCGAAAGGGTGCGAACATAATGTTACCAAAAGTGAACGAACATAATATCATTGATACTTATAAATTCAAGTAATTAGGGTTAAGGCCGAGCCATCATGGGTGGTAAACATATTGTTCATGGTCGGGTGCTATGGACTATGATCCATGATATGGATCGATGGCTCAAAAAGAAGTGTAAATGAAGTAGCCTTAAGATTTTATTGTACCTTGTAATAAGTATAAAATGTATACATTTATTTGTATGGTAAAGAAAGCACCTAAGCATTAACATCAAATGTTTAATGAGATTGTCTTATCAAGTGGTTTGAGCTAAACTACTAGGATAAGTGTTTATATAACAAATTGATGAATTCAGTAATGGAATAATCATTTGCTTATATGTTGATGACATATTGATCTTTGGCACTAGCCATAGATAAGTAGAGTTTACAAAAGCATTATTGTCATCAAGTTTACAATGAAAGACATGGGGGAGGTGGATGTGATTCTTGAAATTTGAATCACACATACAAATAAAAAAACTATCTTTAACAAACTCTCTTTATATTGAGAAAGTTGTTAAGACGTTTGATTGTGAGATTGTTCTCCAATGACAACTCCCATGGATGTGAGTGTGAACACTGGACCTTATAAAGAACAATAAATATCACAACTCGAGTGTTTGAATGAAAACATAAATTATGGTTTGTTTTATGTCAAATTTCCTTCGTTGGTAGAAGGGTATTTAGATGCAAATTTGATTATCAGTATAGAAGATCATTCTTCTATAAGTGGTTGAGTGTATTTGCTTGGGGAGGTTCCATTTCATGGGCTTCCAAGGAGCAAATTTGCATGAGAAATTTGACTATAAAATAAAAATTTGTAGCATTAGCATATGCTAGTAAACAGAATATTGAATAAATAATTTAATTTATAAGATTCTGTTTTGGCCGAAATAGTATCACCAATTTCTATCTCTGATAGTTAAAAAGTCTTGGTTAAAGTTTATAACTAAGTGTATAATGGTAAGTTGCGACACCTGGCGTTAGATATAGCGCAATATGTGAGCTGATCACTCACGAGGTGATTACCAAAGAGATTGTTCGGTCTGAAAGAAAGGTAGCATATCATTTGACGAAATGATTAGCTAGAGACTTGGAAGTTGAGTCGGTTCAAGGGATGAGTTTAAAGTCCATTTGAAATATTTAATGGTGGGATACCCAATTCCCCTCTAATACGACGTTAGAGGCTGAATTCAATGTGGAAAGCCTACACTTAAAGATTGAAGCACATTTTTTTATGTCATCCCAAGGTATGTGCTTGGACCTGCAAGAAGGGATAGGTTGAAATATTATTCTTAATAAATACTTTGAAAAAAGTGCATTTGCAGGTGCATGAGTGAAAGTATTTACCTATATGAATGTGAAGTGATGCCGCTTCAATAAGCTGGGACTTGGGCTTTGTATACATTCATGAATGGATTGGGACACATGGCTTATAATAGTGTCGAGTAAACACTTAAAGTAGTGTGGAAACACGTGTGTGTATTATCTTCATGTGCTCAAAATGGGTTGAGGGATTCAATCCGTAGGACATCGCGATTCTCGAGCATTTAGAATGTGTATTACACTAAGATGAAAATTCAATTCTTCGAACATTTTCATTTATGCATAAGTTTGATATATGTATTATTTATTTAATAAATCTATGATTTCACTTAAATGGGGGAGGATTGTTATATATTTAAGTGAAAGAGTTTAAGTGAAATGGTGCAATGAACCATTGCAATTGTTTATGTGAACAATCACAACTACATAAATAAAAGCTTGCAACTATTGATGATTACAACCTTTGGTAATAACCATATTAATATTTGCAACCTTTGGTGATTAAACATATTAATGATTGCAACCCTTGATTACTAACCATTGTAACTGTTTACTAACCATTGCAATTGTTGATATTAACAATTGCAACTCTTCATTAACCATTGCAACCATTAGTATTAACTATTGCATCTCTTGGATTAACCATTGCAACCATTGGTTGCAACCTTTCATTCTCTATATAAAGGGATGTAGGCATTGGCAAATGATAATAGAGAAATAGAAAAATCAGAAACTAATAGTTAGTAAGAAAGTAAGAGAGAAATAGATTTATTGTTTAAAGATCATCAAAGATCTTTGAAGAAACACATATAAGCATTAAAACTCTATTTGTTATTCTTGTATCTTAGCCTAGAACAAGAATGTGACTTTGATTGTCTTATCCTACAAAGGGATTTTGTGTAACCCAAAGGCTTGGAATAGGGTCGAAATACTCTTTAAGAAAAGTGACCTCGTGCGGGATTCAATCATTATCCAAGTATATAATTCACAAATTTCTGGGTTACAACCCAAATAACCAACATATAGAAATAAGATTAATTTACTTCTAGAAGGTGTTAATTCTTATCTTTTTGGTTGGTCATGATTCAATGCCCCTAAACCTTGAAGAAAATGTGATTTTATGTGGTCCCCAAGTATAATTGTTTATGAATACTATATATATCTAAGCTTTTTTTTTGTCTTGTGAATAATCAAAACTTATCAGATATTTATACACTCCAAACAATGTCAGCCTTGCTCTGTTTCCTCTGTCTCTTCCCCATTTTCTTATTTTCTTTATCCATCTTCTCTAAAAAACACAAAAGAGGGAACCTTCCCCCGGGACCACAGAAGCTTCCGATCATTGGAAACCTACACAACCTCAATGGATTGGCTCACACATGTTTTCGAAACCTCTCTCAAAAGTTCGGACCAGTGATGCTTCTCCGTTTAGGATACGTTCCCACCGTCGTGATCTCATCGAGAGAAGGCGCGGAGGAAGCTCTCAAGACCCACGATCTTGAATGTTGCAGCCGACCAGAGACGGTCGCGACCAGAATGCTCTCATACAACTTCAAAGATATCGGCTTCGCGCCTTATGGTGAGGAATGGAAAGCGTTAAGAAAGCTAGTTGTTGTGGAGCTTTTGAACGCGAAAAAACTCAAGTCCTTCAAGTATATTAGAGAGGAAGAGAATGATGTTTTGGTTAAGAAACTGAGAGAGTCTGCACTGACGGGATCACCAGTGAATCTCACAAAGGCCCTTTTCACGCTAGTCGCGAGTGTTGTGTGTAGGCTCGCGTTTGGTATAGATATTCACAAGTGTTAGTTCATCGATGAGGACAACGTTGCAGATCTAGTTCACAAGTTTGAGTTGCTTATTGATGGTTTTGCGTTCTCTGATTTCTTCCCTGGAGTGGGTTGGTTTATCGACCAGATATCTGGACAGAACAAGACACTGAACAATGTTTTCTCGGAACTAGACACATTCTTCCAGAAAGTGCTCGATGAACATCTCAAGCCTGGAAGAAGAGTATCAGAGAGCCCTGATGTGGTTGATGTGATGGTTGATCTGATGAAAAAGCAAGGGAAAGATGGTGACTCATTCAAGCTCACCACTGATCATTTCAAAGGAATCATCTCGGTATAACAACTTCTTCTAACCTTTTTTCATATGATTCCGACAAGGTATCGTTCTTACACGCAATGTGAATGTTCCAGGATATATTTCTAGCAGGTGTGAACACAAGCGCCATCACTCTAGCCTGGGCCATGACAGAGCTGATCCGACACCCAAGAGTTATGAAGAAAGTACAAGATGAGATTCGGACAATACTCGGAGACAAGAAGGAGAGACTCACAGAAGATGATCTCAGCCAGCTTCACTACTTCAAGCTTGTGGTCAAAGAAACATTCAGATTACACCCAGCTGCTCCACTTTTACTTCCAAGAGAGACAATGTCTGACATCAAGATCCAAGGTTATGACATCCCTGCTAAAACCCAGATGATCATCAACATTTACTCGATCGCACGTGATCCAAAACTTTGGACAAACCCAGATGAGTTTAACCCTGATAGGTTTCTGGAGAGTTCGATAGATTACAAAGGACTGAACTTTGAGATGTTACCATTTGGGTCTGGTAGGAGAATATGTCCAGGGATGATGATGGGGATAGCTAACGTGGAAATGGGACTGTTGAACTTGCTCTACTTCTTCGACTGGGGATTGCCTGAAGGGAAGACTGTGAGAGACATGGACTTGGAAGAAACTGGATCCATCATTGTCAGCAAGAAAGCAACTCTTGAGCTTGTTCCATTTATTCATAACTGAAATAGAGATCATGAAGCAAAATAATAATGTATTCTGATTTTGTAAAATAACATAATAAAGAAATTGAACTCAGCTTCTTATAGTTTAGATTCTGCAATATTAACAATATATTAAGATTAGATTTTTAAAAACATAAGAGTGACAAACAACCAAAAGAGAAAATGACAGACCTAAAAAAGTTTTTGTCACGAATATAAACCTTAACAATTAAAATGACCAAAATGACACTTAAATGTTTTATTAAATATATTTTTACCCTTTGAGTTAACTAATTCTAGATTTTCTTGTTTAGAGTTGAGGAGTGGGGTTTTGAGGATAGGGTTTCAAATTTTTAAAAATAAAAAAAAACTTCAAATTTTCAAAATAAAAAGTGCTATTTTGGTCATTTTAATTTTTGAGGTCTATTTTTCTGATAAAAAAACTTAAAAGAAGACTATTTGAGATAATTAACTCAAACAAACACATTCTTTGATCTCCCCGTATTGATTTGCAGATTTGGCTGGTTTTGAAACAGATTCTGGTTTTATTAGAACTGATTTGAAATATGTACATCATCTTTTAACATATATTATTAAAAATAAACTTCTAACGTTTTAGTTTGTTGAAAACGTTGAAACACATTCTTTTACAGAAGAAACTAAATAAATAAAATAAAAATAAAAATTAACAGTCTTTTCTCCACTCAAAAACAAAACATTACACTGTTATGAAGAAAATAATATTTTTTTTTGAAAAAAATGTAAAAAAATAATTAGATGGAAATCATATTAAACTATTTTTTCATAGAAAAATAAAATATTGTAGTAGTTGATGATAAAAGGATTATTGGAAAGAACCTAACTAATTACCGATTTGAAAAGTGATACTTTACAAATGGCTTATGAAAAGAAAAAGAGATATCCTCAGGTCAGGGTTGGTATAGGGCGTTGGAGGGCTTTTATGGTCTGATGGGGGCGAGGAATACAAGAAATTGCCTTTTCTCCAGTTCAATGCAGAACTCAAAGCTTTTATATGGGTGGTGAAATCTATGAGAAATCTCAAACAGTTCTGTGTGACGTTTACAACATACTGTTTTTAGTTGGTGAAAATGACTTCAGAACCAGAGGAATGGCTTGCTTTAACAACCTACCCAGAAAAATCCAACGGATCTGAGGAAGCTTTGCTACCTTCGAGATCACACATGTTACAAGGACCCGAACACAAGAGTGGATAGGCTTGCACGAGGGGCTCACATTCCTTCGTCTCCTTTCGTCTTTATAGAATCAGAGTCCCAGTTTAGTTAGCAGAGTCTTAATCAAAGGATAAATTGTCTTGGTACTTTAATATGAAAAAATAGAATAACTACAAAAAGTAGTAAGTAGAAATGGATAAATAGTGGGTTCCTTTGTTAAAGTCTGTTTATGCTGATGAGTTTAAAAAAAAACCGCCAGACGCAGTATGTTAGTTGCTTTAAGCGCTTATGTTGGTGCAGTTGCGTTCCTGATTTAAAACTCGGTAGGAGGGAGGCTTATACTATGTCTTGGTATAAGAAAGAAAAATTACCCAGGCAACTATACTAGATATATAGTATTTCTTTGTATAATCCATGGGGCTGCACACGCTGACACACTAAAGAAAGCATTTTTAATTTTGCGATATTATTACAAGAGTCTAAACACAGAATAAGCACCCGATTCAGAATCAAGAATTCTTAATCGAAGGAACCGATGTGATCAATGTAGCTTAATACGACCTGTCATGTTCGATCCCTTGATACCTTCTTGATTACTTCAAAGTAAAAAAAAAAAAAAAAAGCATTTAGTGAGGTCTTTGGATTAAAATAAGTCGTGGCAAGCAACTTTTTAGCTGCTGACATAAAACCTTTGAAATAATTTAATAACCAACATTACAAAGATTTATCGATCTAAGTTATGTCATCCTCCGTCTTCAGAATCATATAGATATTAATTATGTTTAACTGAGAGTCCAAAATTCCAGTAACCAAAAAATTATTCACCATCTCCACCAGGTCATGTATTATTTGCCAAGTGTGTTGAAAAAAAAAAAGCGCTGTCATTCCATCTGGATCTCGCGCCTTTTTAGGATGCATCATGAAGAGTGCATGTTTAACCTCCTCCTCCGTCGCTATCCTAAGTAGTCTTTGGTTCATTTTGATAGTTGATGGAACCTCTTCTAAAAATTTGTGATCTCAGATGGTGAGGTAGTAGTAAATAGATCTTCAAAGTAATCTACTGCTAACTTTTCTACACCATTCTCCTCGGTTATCCAGTTTCCAGCTTCATCATGTAGGTCCACTATTCTGTTACGTACTAGTTTTTGTTTCATTAAGGCATGATAAAATTTTGTGTTGAGATCTCCTAAAGAGTACCACATATTGCGACTCTTCTAATGCCAGTAATCCTCTTCATCCTTATACGCATCATGTAGCTGCCTAGATACATCTAGAATATCCTCATGTGATCTATTATTATCCATTTGTACTTCTTCTAGGGCACGTTGAAGTTCTTGAAGTATGCCTACAATTACTAATTTTCGTGACCAAATCAATTGAATGATCACCAATATTTACTGTCCAGCCATAAATAATTGATTCCGTAAGTCCCTCTTGTCCAATCCATCTCTTATCAAACCGAAATTGTCCTCTTCTCCTAGGAATCTTATCCTCCATATAGGCCACTATCGGGCGATGATCTGACCCAACCATCCCAAGATATTCTGTATAAGAACATGGAAAGGCTGTGTGCCATTCTTCATTTTATAATGTTCGGTCTAGACGACATCTAATCATCACAACATCTTTTCCTTTTTCCCTGCGTCCTTGCCAAGACATCTTGTTTCCTCGAGCTGGAAACTCAAGTAAACCACTATTTCTAATTGTTGTTAAAAGGAACAAAAGATCATGCGCTTCTTAAAGCTTCCCCTTCCTTTTCGTGATTGCTAGTAATCTTATTTAAATCTCCAATAATGAACCACGGTTCTGATCTTGCTAGTCCATATCTCATTAAACATTCCCAAACTTGATCTCTCAATTTTTGGATAGCTTCACCGTATACAAATGTCATAAAGACTTTTTTCTCAAGTGCCTCTATTTCTACGTCTATCATTTGATTGCAGGAGTATAGAATTTCTGATACTCATTATTAAAATATAGAGCTTGGAATTATCCACTGTAACCAAATTATCGAAGCCAAAATGCGCTTGGAATTCTTGAACAAGGCCGGAGTTTGTTTTGTTTCTGATAAAAAAATAAAAAAATCGGGCTTATGTGTGTACCAGATCTCCCGGAGATAACTTATTGTCCATTTGTTTTCATTCCACGACAATTTCAACCTAAAACTCGCATTGAAAATAATTAAAATTTTGCTCCATTGAGCTGAGTAGTCTGGTATAAGGAGACCACCAATTGACTGTGAACCCTCATCAACTCTCATTCCATGTTTATTGCAAAACTTACTCCACCTGTGAACGCTAAAAGGGCGTACTACCATTGTTTCTTCGCAGAGTAATACAGACTCCTGCATAACTCTCTTGTGTAACCATAAAACTCAAACTCTAACCCAGGTAACACCCCATGTGCTCATAATATACTGTATTCTTCGATTCCACCAGTCCTCTCCTGTGTTTGGTATGATGAGATCAAACACAGTATGTGCTGGGATGATGATGACTGAACCAAATAGTGCCTCCGTCTACCGTATAAAGAAGCATACGAAAATAAACAAGACCCGAATACAATCTAGTGACCGCAAAGCATACAAAATATGTAGGTGATCCCATTAAACCGGAGACAAACACCTTTAAAGATTAAGCAAAACCTGCACCACCAATCTAAAGAAGCCTTTTTATTCCATAACCCGATCTTATAGTAAGACCATTCCAAATACTAGGATAACAAAAGCAGCACAGAAAACAGCTCAAAATCAAAGATGAAACAAATAAAAATAATTAAAAAGCTTATTTAAACTAAGTAAAAATAAAAACCGGATGTCCTAAAACGCCAACATAACTTCTCCCTTGAGCCTGCTTGATTCATTAATGGTTCAGTGTTTCGCAGGATCATGTTTTGGGTTTGATGTACCCTTTTCCTCCGTCTGCTTCGCGTGATCTCCATAACGAATTGCTGGTTTAGCGACTGCACGTTTTGATGCCACCATTTGAGCCATCTTCAGCTTGTTAGAAGATTTTGAAATCAGTGACGGTTTAAGAGGCCTTCGACGAGTACCCTGTTGTTTGGCCATCTCTCCAGTATCCTTCTCCTTCCCTTCCACGTCTTCCAAATGCTTCTGTCCATTTATTTCTACAACCACATCTTCCTGCATTCTAGCATCCTCCTCAAACTCCCAAAACCAACCTCAGCTAGTACATTGTTTCCTTCCTCTAACACCCTTTGTGCTGAATTTAGCCCTTGTTCTTCACCCAAGAGATCCGATGTTACCTTTGGTGATTTCGCTTGCGTCTCCATTAGCTCATCAAAAAAAGCCTGGGAAGGTGGTTCCTGACCTTGTACCTTCTCGTTCTTATCATATGGCTTCTTCAATTCTTTGATCTCGCCTTCCTCTCTCACCTCCACCCGAGCCTTATTGTGTGCACCTCTATCTCTTCTCAAATCTCCAGATGGCCTGACTTGGTCCCCTTGACAATGGGACCGTGTCTGCTCCCTTCTAACACTCCTGTGACGAGAACCCTCTTCCTCTCCATGGTAACCCCTACGAGTATTGTGGTATTTTTTATGCTCTTTCTCCGCAACCCTTACCCATTTCGAATCCAGATCCTTCACCATTTTTCCTTTACCCTTTCCAATGTACTCGCGTTTTTATCTTCCCCTATCTTGTTGGTCCCCCGTTTCCAATGACACTTCCCACTTATATGATTTTGTAATTATTATTTTTTTGTAAGAAAAAATTAAATCATGGATCACAAAACTTTCAAGGTGAGATTTTTAACAATTTTAGTAATTTATAATCGTTTTTAAAAATTCAAAAAATAACATATACAGAAAAATCTAAACTGAATTTAGTATATGGTGAAAAGAATTGTTCCATTTATTTTAATAATTTAAAATTAAACAAAAAATGATAGGAGGTACGCTAGTTTTGGTCAAATATTTATTATTTAAAATCATTAATTATTATAAATAGTTTAGCCACATTAGGCAATTCTGTAGTTTTTAATTAAAAAATGAAGATCATTAATAATTAATTTATGGTTAGCTTAATGAAAACCTTATTATATATTTATATGTACCAGTCTATTTCTCTAAAAATTTTAAGAAGCATTGTGGTGATGAAACATGTCTACCTCAAATATTGTAATGTTTCTAATATAATATATAGGGAATATATTAAATAATTATAATTCTATAAATATTACCTTTATAGTTAAATTGGTGCAATCGCATAAATATATTTTTTTACTAATCCAAAAAATCATTTTTTCTATTTTATATTGTATATAATTAAATTTAGATGATATTAACACACATATATATAGCATATTTTAAATATTGGTATTTATTAAATGGTGTTTTCTGCTTATATGGTTTTTTGATAAATTGTATTTTTGTCTTACAAAAACTGATAACAAAACTTTAGTTGTGGAATGTTTAATAGTTTTAGTAATTTATATTTTGTAAAAAATAAATGCAGAATTTAAAATTTAAATTTTAAGTTTTCAATATTTATTCAGAGCTTTTATCAAAAAATATTGTTCAAAGCAAATTTTAAAATTAAAATATTATGTATTTTATATGGTATATAGTTTAATTTAAATGATATTAATACATATATATATATATATTAATCTTAATGTTTATTAAATGACACTTCCTACTTATATGCGCGGGTAGTTATTTGTTTTGCTTGTAAGAAAAAATTCAAAATCATGGATCACAAAAATTAAACATGAGCTTTTAACCGCTTTAGTAATTTATAGTTGTTTTAAAAAAATTAAAAATATAACATATACAGAAAATCTAATATTATAGTATAGGATTAATTTGATTTTTTATTTATTTTAATATTTTAAATTAAAAATCTAATATTTTTTGGTATAAGACACTAGTTTTTGTTAAATCTTTATTATTCAAAATCATTAATTGTTATATATACTTTAGCCACTTTAGAAAATTTCGTAATTTGTTTTAAGAAAAAAATGAAAAATATTAATAATTAATTTATGGTTAGCTTAATAAAAAATTATAATATATTTATATTGACCAATTTATTTTTCTAAAGATTTTCAGAATCATTGTAGTAATAATACATAACTACCTCAAATAATGTAATGTTTCTCAAATAATATATAAGGGATATCATTCCACCTTAAGCCCTTTATACCTCAAGCAAATCGATAGACAAAAACCATGGCTCCAAATATACAACTAATCTTCTTGAAAGACATCAAACCTTTCAAAATAACTTGGCGTATACAAGTGAATCATATCCATCAATTTCTGGAGAATCATTGAAGTTAATCCTATCTGATGCACATCTATATTATTAGAAAAACGTAAAATACTATACAATATTATTGGTTTCATGTATAACTATTTATAATTATTTTTATTATACTATTAATTATTCTAACTATACAAAATTTAAATATTTAAATGGATCCTATTCCTTATTTCATTTGGTAAATATTTTTTCTCTTCAAATGATCATTCTATTACTCAAGTTTGAGGTGGTAATACAAATCTCTATAAAAGAAACTCAATATCTTAGCTAAGGAATCAAACGTTACATTACTAACACGAGAAATAAAAGAAATTAAAAATCCGTGAATCTATTCTTCAGTCTTGAATACTCTTTCAGTTCAGTGGAAAAGCTTAACCATGCTCATGTATCTTGAGTCATCAAGACTAGGTCCTTACTGTCTGTTCCGAACATCTAACACTACGAAACCTGCAGCATGCACTCCATTGCCTACAATAGAGCCTCCAACTCTGCATGTAAGGGTTACTTTTTTCCTTGAAATAATAATTTATCACCCAGAATTATAACTGTTAGATTTATACACCTTATCTTATTCTCAATAATGGACTTACAATATTTACACATCAGTTATTAAAATGAGTAAGCGAATATCATACAATATGTTATACCATGTCATCTTACATTATATAGTCTCAATATTTACAAAATCAAATTTGGTAAAATTACTTTAGCCAACCATATGCAAAAAATAAAATAATATATATTGACTTAAATTATTGTTTATAAAAAATGATTTGTGAAAAAAAAAAATTTAATATAAGTTCAAAAATATTAAAAACCCAATAAATCTATATTATTAAATTAGTCCAAAATCTACCAAGTAAATCTTAAATCTCATCAATTCAGCTAAGTAACTTTTATAAATTCAAAAATAAATATAATAAAAGAGTAAGCATGGCACTCAGCTTGGATCGGATCGGCTTTTTTCGGGTCTAAGGCCCTTGACTCCTAAATAGTTGGATCTAACTAGGTATTTTAAAATTTACAGTTTGGGTTCAGATCCACAAATCACTTACCTGTGAAATATTTGGGATCATGATTGGTACCCAAAAACACGAAAAACTTGAAAACCTAAATAAATACCCAAAATAATAAAATATCCAGATGACCTAAATTTTTAGCCGAAATCTAATCTGAGAAACTGAAAATATCCAAAATTTTATCCGAATACCCAAAATATTTTTGACTAATTTGAAACTTTACCCGAAACTTGAAAGTATCACAAGAAACCTGAGCCCAAAACTTAAAAAAAAAAAAAAAACTGTAATACTGAAAACATATCTCAAATATATCTAGTATATGCAAAATATTTTAGGTACTTTGGGAATTGGATCAAGTCATGGGTAGAACCAAAACTGGAACAGAGACCTGCATGTCTAAACAATACCCAATAGGTATTTTGCCGTAAACCCGAACCCGAATCAAACATGTAGTTTTTGGTCTGATAAAATCTTCAAGTCTAAGAAAAATTACATAAAAGTCTATATACAAAATCTCAAATATACTAATTCAGAAATTATATGATTTTACGAAGTTCTTTCTTTGAAATAATACGACTTTTGGAACATGATAATAATAATGTACAGCAATCTTAAAATACTAATTATTATTACAATTTATTTGTAATTAAAAAAATCTAGTTGATGGTTAAAAGTTAAAACTCTGAGTTATCATTTGTAGTGGAATCGATTGAATTGACATTTTGTCTCTTTATTTATTAAGAAGCATCTACTTTGTAAATCTTATAGTTAAAGACTTGTAAGAAAGTAATCACTTTGTTATATTACATTTCTAAAAAAAAAAGAAAAATGTATAAAGGTGAAATAAATATGGAAAAGATTAGGAGAAAGATGACTTTTGGGGCATGAGCAGATGATATTGTCTTCTTGGATCCTCTTGTGTTCGTTTATAGGGGAAGTTTATTCAACGAAGAACGAACTTTTTGTCTCAGTAGACATAACTTTCTTATATGATGTACAATTGTATAGAATAAATTATTTCTCGCGCGGTAACTTTTCAAATGTGGTACTATATGTGACTAATAAATCATGCATTTTACTTATGATATGGTTGCAAAAATGTTATGATGTGGTTGATCATTGTTATACAAACTAGGCCTGCAAATTACCCGGACCCAAAAATCTGAACTGAAACTAACTAGACAATATCCAATCCAAAAGCGGATCAAAAATTTATAAATCTAGTTGGATCTAGAATTGCTTTATCGGAAAGAATCCAAACCGAAGAGAACCAATCCGAATAGATCCGAATCCGAATAAATTTGACCCGATAAGAACTTTATACCCGACCTAAGAATATGAATATCCAAAACTATGATTTCATTGTTCTATGTCTATATTTTAGTTTATAATTTAACTAAAATGTCATTTTGTTAGAAATATTCTTATTATTTTATAACAGTTATAATAATATGAAATTTTAAATGTTTAAGTTATAGTTTAATTGTTTAATTTCAATTACTAATAACTTTTTTCAAAATTCTACATAAAATATGACAGATTTAAACTAAATTTCGATGAATTATGGGTATTGCATTCAAACCCTAAATATCCGAATTGGACCTGTTATAGATCCACAATTTACAGTTATTTTACAAAATTTAGTTATAGACCCGAGCCAACTCGGATTTAAGAGGAACTAACCCGAATTCAAACCAAAAAATTTTGAGTATCTAATTGAGTCCAAATGTCTAGGACCCTAGGGACCTAGATATAAAAAGACCCGACCTGAACTCCAGGCCTAATTCAAGCATACAAGATAAGTTCAAACTTTATTATAATGTAGATGATTTCGGGGACTTAACTATGTATCAATGTTTTTAAATCCGGACCAGAAGCTGAACCGAATAATTATTGGATCACGATTCAATATGGTTCGACCGGGTCGAACATGATGCAATAATCTAGTTTAATATTTTTAAATATATAAATTTAAAAGTAAAAATAGTAAATATGATACATAATTAAAACTTAAATGTATATAAATATAAAATATTATAAATATAAATATTTTTTGTTTATATTTTATATTTTTTTGATAGTTTTAATGGTTTTATTAAATTTAATAACTTTGAGATCTAGTCTGACTACTTGATTGGTTCATGGTTACCTGATCAGTATATGCATTGGCTAGACTAAATTATCTTTGAATGAATCTATGTTTGTTTTCATTTTGACTAAATACAACAAACATTGACACCATTTGTGCAACCATATAGCAAACAATAAATAAAAATAATTACTTGTGGGAACCTTATTAGTTTAGT